CTAGCTACATATCTACCTAACTAATTAGCTACCTACTTATCGTTCTGTCTTCCTCTCTACTTATCTACCTTCCTACCTCCCCTTAATATCTACCTACTTACCAACTTACTTTCCTACATACATACCTAACTATTTACTTTCTTATCTTTTTTCCTCACCTACCTACTTATCTCCGTCTCTAACTATCTTCCTACATACTTCCTTACCTACCTGCACATCTTAATTACCCACCACCCTTTTTCTTCCATAACTACCTCCATACTTTATTTTCTTCTTATGTATCTACATACCTACGTAATTTCCAACTCCCTAACCGCATACTTACATACTTCCATACCTCGTTACCCATATACATACTTACTTGGCTGCTGCCATAACTACTCCATCAACTCTCCCCCTTCTTCCCTACCTAATCTTCATTCCTATCTGCTTTCTTACCTGCATATCTATCTACATTTCTTTCTACATACCCTTTGTCTTAACTACTTCTCTACCTCACATACATTCCTCTCCTTTTATCTATATATTATCTTCTTTTATCCTTCATTAGTCATCCAATTATTCCTTAACGCTGCGCATTATGTCTGTCTGATGTGTTTTGGAATAGCAGATGTAATTGCATCTTTACACTATTTAAAACTCAGATTCATTTTTGTCCGGCTTCGAAAGGCCCCACAAATAAATGCATTTCAAAACCTATCTTTCGCACACCCTCGACACGGGACTTCCGCCTCCATCCCCCTTCTACACAGGTACAAGCGAACAAAAACCACAACAAGACACCCGCACACAATTATATTGTGCAAAAGTAGACAATCGTTTTTTCTACAAATCGCTGGCTGAACAATCCAATTGAATGCTAAAGCGGCTGCTTAAGCCTAGGCAAACAATGTAATAGCGAGGCCTACCAGCAGTTGCTCAGGCGACAAAACGCGTATTATCGCACCAAATCTGAATGTGAACTCTCCAGGTTCACTGTACAGGCTATCGAAGAGTGAAATCGATTGACTCGACCAGTAATACTTATAAGCCAGCCCCATGATGTTTCTGTCAAACTGATTGTAATCACTAATAGCAGAAGGCTTCGTTTGACTCACGCACACGCGATCACGCTTAACCCACCCTCCTCTTTGCACACGTTTGCCTACTTATTTTCACATTCATACACACTAGTCTATATGAAAATAGACTGGCACAAGTTCACATGAGCATGGATGCGTGGACGAAAATTAATTTAAGGTCGACCACCGTGTGCAAACATTTCACTCATGCAAACATTCACATGATTATCTCATCATGTCCGGCCAAAACGTGACTAATCACAGCTCCCATATGTGCCGCTTTATCCTCTTAAGTCCCGACCCAATTTCTAGTCACATTCAACTTCTTGGCGGGACTAGTAATACGGCGACGACCAACTGATCTGCCACAGGCTAACCTCCGAATATATTGTGATTTGGCAAAAGCCAGTCGTCTTCGCTACTCTCTAGAACACATATATCAACAGTAACATCATACTCGCGTACCCGAGGTGGTATCGAGTGCTGGGACGCCTTGCAGAGAAATGAGCACTCAGACAGTGCGTTTATTTGGTTGAACGTGGTTGCGATGTCCTACTTATTTTGATGGCCCAGAAGCGAGAGGCTCATCCTACCATATGAGCCAACTGCCTATACCTATTAATGCAAATGTCTTTCCCTGCTACTTTTCTAACCCCTACTCACGAACTCACTGGTCACGTCACCATGTCTGCGCTTAGCCGACTAGTACAGTGAGCTACGAGTGTTTATAACATTTTTCGAATAAGGTTGACCACCATGTGTACTGTAGCATCATTAGGACTAGGTTTAGAAA